CGGGCGAACGCGTTCGCTAGAGATGTCAACAAACACACCATTTTGCATGCTGCCGAGTCCGGCCTTCCGCTCCTCCGTGCACTTATTGGCTCAGACGTTTTTCTGAATTCGGCCGATAATAATTACGATTTTGTAAAATTTTATATAACTTTTCTTCTCAGTTTAACCCAATCTACTATAATCTTTGGGATTGTCCATATCGAATCTGACACCCTGTATAACACGAGCATTGACCATTTTTCCTTGTAAAGAAGAGATAGTCATAGTGCGCGTTTTTCTTCATATCGCGCACCTCTTTTCTGTAGTTGTGCAACGGGAGTTCCTCACTGTAAGTTACACACTGTAAAAACAGTATGTAAAATACATATGAAGTGAGTATAGCAATTACACTATTAATAAGGGCAATATGTATACAAATTTATGAATTTCCAAAAATTTGTTTCGTTTACTCTTTGTTGTATAAATACTTGTTTATGTTTAATAAAAAATTGTAAAAGTTTACTTACATAAGGTAGAATTTTACTTACAATGGTATACACGGTACATAATATTCATAATATCCCTATTCATAATATCCCTTCGAATGGTGCACGCACATAATATCGATTATTTCTTAGAATGACGACAGAAACATACCATTCAGCGATTATTAAAGAAGTTACAGCCTACTACCATTATATCTCTCTCTTGGTCCCTCTACCCTACATGTAATATTATTATTGAATATAAAACTAATACTTATTTTTTTAAGTTAATCAACAAAATGTAATTGTGTGCAGTATGGTATTTCGCTAGCTAAATAGCGACTGAATATACTATACCGTTAACGTATCTATTCACTTTTCCTATATATATTTTTTTAATGAGTTTTTTAAATATTTGCACCCTGCCAGAATCATGAATAGAACAACAGAATGATGACAGCCGGCTGTGAGGCGGAGCCGGCGATGGTAACAAAGTCTATATTTTTTGTATGTAAGTATAGATCACCTGCATTAAAATTTCATGGTGATACACCATAATTTATAGTCTGTCAAGCGTTCGTTCCTTCTGCATTGTTTCTGTTTATTTCGTTTCAGTGTAACGTCGCGTTTATAAGCCGTCATATAAACATCGCAAAAAGACAGCTGTGCATATTTTACAAAAGCATTATTATTGATCGGAATATATTATACGTTCGAGATACATATAATTATTATGATGATATATATCGTTCTCTCCAAAGGTTGTAAAAAGAGACGAACAATGAATGTTAGAAACTAGAAAGTAATACTGCGTGTCTATAGATATTAGAAGATTCGTGGAATTTTTATAAAATTGCTTTAAAATCAATGTGCAAACTTTACAAGAAGCTGCTTGATATTTTTATTCGAGTGAGTAATTTGCATTATTGAACAGTATCCTCTAAGTTAAAATTAGTGGATAAAATTCAGCACAATATGTATTTTGCTTGTTCAATATATTAGTTGATTATATTAGTCAATTTTACAAATGATAGAAATTTTTACCCTTACCAATCTAATATTATTGCGTATAGCATAAAACATTTCAGGTTATTAAAATTAATATTATATTCATTAAATATGAAACTAAAAGTACATTTTTTTCACAAGTAAAAACAAATTTTTAATTGCTCTTACCGCAATTTTCCTGTGTACCTTTGAGACTGTCATTATATACACTTTTTTCAAATAAAAATCATTAATCTATTTTTGTTTTAGCTAAAAAGGTTTAGCTTTATATACAAAGTTCAGTTTTTGCATAATTAAGTCACACATTTTTTCTTGCTTTGTACATATAATAATTATATCACACAATTATACCTTTTACACAAGACGTAAGAAGTACACAATAGTATAATAGTATAATAAAGTGCAACATAACAAATGTTTTGTCTTAAATTAGAGATCGAGTAAAAACTATTTCGAGAAATGCAAGTAATGCAATTTCCATTGAAAATCCTCACAGTAGCGGGATGTCGGCCACCAAACTCGTGGTCCTCATTATGCAAACGGACAATGTACAATGCCTATACAGTTCTCACGTGTTTACTATTGCTTACCTTCGTGTTACCGCAACTTATGGACATTATTCTGAATGTCGATAATCCCGACGATTTCACGGATACTTTTTATGTAATGCTGGGCATGGTGATTGCTGTCTGCAAGATGCTCAGTTTATTATTAAATCGCAAGAATATCGAGATGTTAACCGCTACGTTAGAAGAAAATCCATTTAGACCTTTAGAAGAAGATGAAATCGAGATTCGACAAAAATATGATAATATAGTATGGTAAGAGATTAAACATTCAAGGAATAAAAAAAAGATCCGCATTCTTTAATTTAACAAAGTCGTCACAAATTGGCCCCGTCTCCATGCCATTTTGCAGGACCTATTCCATGTTCTACACGATTTTGGTTGAGATGACATGCGGTTGCATGAATTTGACATCTTTATTTACCGACTTTCGAAAAGGCAATTTAGCATATCGGGAATGGATACCCTATGAGTGCTCTGATACAGTGTATTATTTCACGTACTTTCGCCAATTAATAAGCTTGACAGTTGGATCTATCGTGAATGTTGCTTGGGATATAACGATTTGTGGATTTCTCATGCATATTTATTGCCAGATTGAGATCTTAGAATGTCGTGTGAAGAAAAGCTTGCGCAATCGAGACGATTTGGGTGAATGTGTGCATCAGCACAATCATATCTATAAGTTAGTCTTTGTACAAAATTTTATGCATTTAAATTAAATTCCCTTTTAAATTAATGTCAGGAGCACACAATGTAATGCAAATATATGTAATATACAGGATGTCCAACGTAGGGGTGACAGAAAGGTAGATTTGGTTAAACTAATTGTAAGAAGAAAGGTTTTGTACTTTTTGTAAATGCGCAATAGTTATTGAATAATTAATTCAAACGTCTGAGCGAATGAATGCGTCGAAATCGGTAGGGCAGACTCGGATACAGTTGGAACCGTTTTTGCCTGTCTTACTCTCTCGATTCTCTTGTATTTCAGTAGGTATTTCAATATAGCGCAAAGTTCACTGGCTCACATGCCTACCGAGTCGGCCCACGTATGGCATATACATAACGACAGTCGCTTTATTTTTAAGCTAGAGTGAGAGAGCAGTAGACGCAAAACAGCTTTCTCACTTACACTTCTGACTCCACTATGCAGACGAAATGCTTGATCTATGTATATAAATCGTCGGTCTATTACTTTCTACACATTTATTAGCCTAAACATTTGAATTAATTACTCGATGACTATTGTGAATTTTACAAAATAGTACGTAAATGTTTTTCAGTATAACCCAATCTACCTCCATCTTTCAGTTGCTTACTCTTACGTCAGACAACCTAGCACATATATTTCTAATTTTAATTATTATAATATCGGTATATTTTGCAAATATGTACGTATATGGCATTTTGTTTATTAAAGAAATAAAGATGTACAGTTCAATTGAAATTATGGTAATATTTAATCATGAGCAATAATAACTTTAAAGAAAAACAATATTATTCTCTTTTAGATTTGCGCATATAATGAATGAAAAGTTCAGGATTATACTTGCCATTCAATTCATAGCAAGCATGCTAGTGGTATGTTCTAATCTCTATCGATTAGCGAAAACCACGCTGAGCTTAAAATATATTCCACTGATGTCGTACACAATCTGTATGGGTATGCAAATTTTTATCTATTGTTGGTATGGAAATGAAGTGAAATTAAAGGTAACATTAATTAAGTGTATATACTTAAATGCATTTTGTTAATGTATTTAAAAGTAATAATAACAAATGCCAGGATTACATTATAACAGTAATAAAATAAAAATAAAATATTTTTTTCAAATTTAAGCTTAATGTTATATTACGACATATAACAACATTTACAGCTGCAATAAGAAAAATTGTAATTGTATTTCTGACAACTTCAATTGTAGAGCATTCAATTGTCCGATGAAATTTTTGGAATGGATTGGGTAACAGCAGACAAGAAAGTAAAAGAGAATCTTATAATAATTATGAATCGCTCTTTGATACCCATAGAATTTTCTAGTGCATATATTATTACAGTGAATCTAGATTCTTTTGTGAAGGTTAGACATAAATTTATTACATTTACTAATTGTGATAACTGAAAATTTAAATAGTTGAATTAATAAATGTTACTTAAAAATTAATTTATTTTTTAGTTGCTTAAAATGTCGTATTCAGTATTCAATATACTTAAACAAACGAGAGAAGAATATTGATGACAATGTTATTAAAGAACGAGAACGAAATAATATTTACTAAATATGCAGTGCATATGTTGTAAAAAATGTTAGACAACAGTGTAAAAATATCTTCGATGGTAATCGTAGTTTCTTGCCCAGTTGCATATCGTATATATATTACATATATAAATAAAGAAAATATTATTTATCTGTATTTTGTACTACCCTTTACTCACATCTTTCCTCACATATTTGCCATAAAAATTGAAGAATGTGATTAAATGTAGTTTTCTACAATATAGTTAGATTTTATTAATATTTATAAAAAATGACAAGTTCTTCAAATGTTTATATTACTCTTGTATACCGTAAAATTAAGAAATTCTACACAAATGACTATTCAAGAACATATAACTACGATTGTTTTCCTCCAGTTTAAACATTATTTTATGTGATGTGTGTCACGTTACGAAAATGAAAGATTGAAAATACTTCTCTTTGTACTTAATAAAACCTGCATATATATAAATACCGAGAAGAAGATAAGGAATGCTGGACTGAAGTCGCGGACAGCGACAATAATGAATAAAATATATTATAATGAACGAGTACAACAACGTATCAAGTTTTCATACGTCTGAACTCTTGTCTACAGCTTACTTATATTTATGATATACATATACTTACATTATAATATGAGGTATAAGATTGAAATTCTCGGGAAATTTTATTTCACGGAACACATCAATCCAGGTTTGCTATTATAATAATGTTACTTCGAGGGGAGAATAAATAATGTCACGTTACATGATCTATAGACACTGTAAAGCTTTCTCTTCAACTGACTTGCGTGTGATGTATAACAGCAATACATATATCACGCAACATATATCAAAGGAGTGTACACGAAGACAACGTCACAACATCTTACAACATCTTACAGCACATTAAGTTACATAGTTTATGTAATTTATGTTGTATTAGATTAATGCAATCGTGAAAATTTCTTTTAAGAAAAAAGAGACGTACTTACTGAGAAATTAAAAAATATTTTGTTTATAGAGTATGAACGTACTGAAATTTACACTCGCAATTCTTGCAATCGCTGGATGCTGGCGACCGTTCTCATGGACGTCGCTCATCAAACATATATTATATAATGCGTATACATTGTTAGTAATTAGCCTAATGTACAGTTTCACATTCACACAGTTTATGGATGCTGTTCTGAATGTCAACAATCCGGATGATTTTACTAACATCGTATACACGATGTTAACCATGTTTGCTGCATGCTATAAAATACTCAATCTGTGGGTAAATCACGAGAGTTTCGCGGAGTTAATTCAGAATCTCACGGAAGGAACCTTTAAGCCATTAGTTCCTGTAGAAATTGAAATTCGCCGAAAATTCGACAAAATAATACAGTAAGTACAAAATTTTGTCTTGATTTATAAATACCATAATATGAAATTTATATGGAAAATTTAGAAAATTAATAAAACATCTTTTTCTAAAGATCCTTTTCATAGATTTCACTCTTGATGTTATTAACAGAATTCTATAAATATAATGTTATGCGCGTCCAACATTAATTTTATTTTATGTACTATTTGTATATTTGTGATAAATTTTACATGTGCAGAACACTGTGTTTCTACTAAGGTAGAAAGACAGTGTAACATTTAAGTACAAAAATTTCTGTCTTGTAAGATAAAAGCAACTTTTCGTATTTTTCTCTAGGAATAACGCAATATGTTATGCTACTTTGATTATGGTCACCTGTGCAGGCCATGTCTTGGTATCGTTACTGACAAATTTCAGAAAGAGGCAGTTACCATTCAAAGGATGGATACCATATGATTACTCGACGTTTGTGATATTTTGTCTTACATATGTTCATCAATACGTAGGTGTGATATCTGCTTCCCTTGTTAACGTTGCTTGTGACAGTCTCATTGTTGGTCTGCTACTGCACCTTTGTTGTCAAGTTACGATTTTACAATATCGTTTGAAAGGTATCACAAATGGCCAGAACACTGTGGGTGACTGTGTACGCCAACATCATCACATAATCGAGTTAGTTTTGTGAAAATCTTAGACTTAATCTTAGAATATTTAAAAATTAATTCTAAATTTGATAATATATCTCAATACGTTTCTTATTTACTAGGAATATGTTTAAAAATCGATAATTCTGTGGTATAGTATTAATTCTAATATAATATTTATACTGTTTAGTGTTATATTTATACGTATAAGATTTTGTTACAACCTTATACAGCGATGTTGAATTTATTGTTATCTTAATTTTTTTCAATACAATTGATTGTAATACGTAGTGTAGAAAAATTTTGTTTGCAGATACGCATACGTGACTAACGCGAGATTCACGAAAATAATCGGGTTTCAATTCATAGCAAGTACATTCGTAGTATGCTCGAATTTGTACCAACTATCTAGAATTACATTAAACGCAAATTTCATTGCGTTATTTGCATATACATTTTGCGTACTTGTACAAATTTTTATCTACTGTTGGTTTGGAAATAAACTCAAACTAATGGTGCGCATAATTATAATATCCCACATTATTACAAACTTATATACTTTTTTTTTATAAAAATCTGAAGATAAAACATTTGATATATTAAAATACATGAATTTACAGAGTCTTCAATTGGTTGATAATATTTTTGAAATAGAATGGATAGCGTTGGATAATAAAACTAAAAGAAGCCTTTTAATAATAATGAATCGCGCGATGAGACCGATTGAATTTATCAGTGCACATGTTTTAAACATGAACCTAGATTCTTTTGTAGCGGTCAGTATAAAACGCAGTAGCAATAAAATTTAATTTCTCTAATAAAATTTTTATCTTTTATGTTTAGTCAAGATTTTAGTAGTAAGTGTTTTAAAAATAATATGGTTTGGAGAATAAAATAGGAAGAATAGATATAAAAAATAAAATTGCGGGCCCTATAATATATGTATTATATAATATGTGTTATACACATAGAAAATTTATAAGTAACATTCATCATGATTAATATATATATAATTACGGAATATAGTGTAAAGATTTATGTAAAGTTTTTGACTATATGAATTATCCTTCTTTAAGATTTTAAAAAAGATTGAATATGTTTATAATGTTTGCAGTTACTTAAAACATCGTATTCTGCTTACAATTTGTTATCAAAAATACAAGACTAACGATATGAAGGCAAGTAAAAAATATATTGCTAATATTAATCCTTAATACATAATTTGTTAAGTCCCTTGCTAATGACACCGGTAATAATTAACGTATTAGATGTTAAGTTGTAACGTTTTTTAATTTTATATCAGTATATATTTTAAAAATATAGTAAGTTGCAAAAAATTTATTTTTAAATTAAGTTGACTTAATATATTTTATATGCAGGACGATACTGGGAGAATAAAACTTAATTACATCCAAATGTGGAAAATGTGACGCCACATAAATATAGATATGAAGATTTAAAATTATTAATTTTTTCCTCTGAATAGTCTTATAACTACATATCTTCAATGTTATTGTATTTTTTCGCTTGGTTATGTTGCGTGAATAGAAATCAATACTGGAAAAGATGCGAACGATAATAAATAAAATACTTTGTGTAACGAAAAGTAACATGTTTCCGGAATTACGAAGATTACTTGTATCCCCTATCATATTGATAAATATATTTGACAATTTCTTAGCACCTCGGTGTTAAGATATATATTTAGGATATATAAGAAATAAATTTAATTTATTATAATTAAATACGGATAATTTCTTTAATTACGAAACAGGGAGTATCTACTGAATTGCAGCTTTGTTTTTATAATGAACGAAAAATTCGCAAAGATAATCGCTATTCAGTTTATAGTAAGCATGCTGGTGGTAAAAATAAATAAAAATAAAATTTATTATTTAATAATTTATGAAATTAGCAATCATCAAATAAATTTGAAAATATGTAGGTACATCTATGTTACAGTTATATAAAATAACATTTTTGATAACGTGATCTACAATGTTCAACACGATTCCAACTGTCTTTTATACTTTACCATGTCACACATATTTGCGTCGCGTTTTATGTATGGCCGTTCTATATTTTATTATAAGTTTATATCTTTTCACATTTTGTACTATTGCCTGCGTAATTTCTCGTATTATTTATCTTATGTTTTCTATCATGTATTAATTTATATTTCTTGCTTTATACAGAAGATAGTCCAATAAGGACCGAAACGTATATTCACTTTTAATTAAAAGATTTTTTTGGACACTACAACCTTGTCTAGGCTTTGAGCCCTTTCTATAATTACGCGATATAATTAATACTTATTTTTTTAAGTTAATCAGTAAAACGTAATTCTGCGCAATATAGTATTTTGCTAGCTAAGTAGCGACTGAATGTATTATATCGTTAACGTATCTGTTCACTTTCCCTATATATGTATTTTTAATGAGTTCTTTGAACCATTTGTGCTCTGCCAGAATCGGAAATAAATCAATATTAATCAATATGAATAGCAGAACGACGACAGCCGGATGCGAGGCGCAGCTGGCAATAATAACAAATTCCATATTTTTTGTATGTAAGTATAGGTCACTTGCATTAAAATTTTATAGTGGCACACTATAATTTATAGTCTATCAAGCGTTCGTTCCTCCTACATTATTTCTATTTATTTCGTTTCAGTGTAACGTCGCGTTTATAAGCCGTCATATAAGGATAGCAAAAAGACAGTTGTGCATATTTTACAATAGCATTATTACCGATCGGAATATATTATACGTTCGAGATATATATAATTATAATCTTGACATATTTCTCTCTCCAGAGGTTGTAGTACAAAGATACGGACAATGAATGCAGAAAGTAATATTGCGTATCTATAGGTATTGTAAGATTCGTTGAGGTTTAGTAAAATTGCTTTAAAATCAATGTGCAAACATTACAGGAAGCTGTTTCATATTTTTATTTGAGTAAGTCATTTGTATTACTGAACGTTGTCCTCTAAGTTAACATTAATGGATAAACTTTAGCACAATATGTGTTTCGTTTGTTTTAAATCAATGAAATATATTAGTCAATTTTACAAGTGATTACAATTTATACCATTACCAGCCTAATATTATTGCGTACAGCATAAACCATTGCAGGTTTTATTAATGTTATATATTATTAATATATTAATATTTTATTAATATTATGTTTCTTGAAAATACAAATAAAGGTAAATTTTGTTTCAAAGTAAAAGCAAATTTTTAATTGTACGGTTTTACTGCACACACTTGCACACACAACTTTTCTATATACACGTTTAAAATTACCATTATAAAATACAATTTTTTAAATAAAAATTATTCATTTATAAGTTATAAGAAATATGCAATAGTATATAAGCAAGTGCAATATAATAAATATTTTGTCTTAAATTAGAGATCGAGTAATATTTCGAGAAATGCAAGTAATGCAATTTCCATTGAAAATCCTCACAGTAGCGGGATGTCGGCCACCAATCTCCTGGTCCTCACTATGCAAACGGACAGTGTACAATGCGTACACAGTTCTCATGTGTTTACTATTACTTACCTTCTTGTTACCACAACTTATGGATATTATCCTGAACGTTAAGAATCCCGACGATTTCACGGATACTTTTTATATCATGCTGGCCATGGTTATTGCTGTCTGCAAGATGCTCAATTTATTATTAAATCGCAAGATTATTAAGATGTTAACCGACACGTTGGTTGAGAAACCATTTGGACCCTTGGAACAAGATGAAATCGAGATTCGACAAAAGTATAATAATATAGTACGGTAAGAAATTGAAACATTCAAGGAATAAAAAAAGATTCGCATGTTTTAATTTAAACGTTTCTTAACTCTTTCTCTCTCTTTCTCTCTCCCTCTCTCTTTGTATATATATATGTATATGTATATGTATATATTAGTTTGTATATCTTTAATATTATACATATATAATTACTTTATAGCATTTTTAATTGACAAAATTACAAATACCTACGATAATACTAAGTAATTATCTTTATTAATGAAACAAAAAATAAATGGATAAATAAAAATCTTTTTCCATCTATAAGAAGTAGAAAATATATTTTTTTTTCTTTTTAATTAAAGGAGAGAAATACAAAACAAAGTCATCGTGAATTAGTCCAGCCTCCATAGTCATTTTGCAGGACCTATTCCATAGTCTACACGATTTTGATTGAGATGACATGCGGTTGCATGAATTTAGCATCTTTATTTACGGACTTCCGGAAAGGAAATTTAGCATATCGTGAATGGATACCTTTTGAGTTCTCTGATACCGTTTATTATTTCACGTACTTTCGCCAGTTAATAAGCCTGACGGTCGCATCCATCGTGAATGTTGCTTGTGATATAACGATTTGTGGATTCCTGATGCATATTTATTGCCAGATCGAGATCTTAGAGTGCCGTGTGAAGAGAACCTTGCATGATCAAGGCGATTTGGGTGAATGTGTACGCCAGCACAATCGTATCTATAAGTTAGTCTCTGTACAAAATTTTATGCATTTAAGTTTCTCTTTTTAATTAATGTTAAGGCATATGTATGTATATGTATATACAGGGTGTCCAACATAGGAGAGACCAACCGAAAGATGGAGGTAGGTTGGGTTAAGCTGAAAAAAATAGTTATGCATCTTTTGTAAAAGTTGCATTGGTCATCGAGTAATTAATTCATAATAAATGTCTGAACGAATGAGCGCGTATAAAGAGGTAGGCCAGATTCGGTAGGCATATAAGATAAGCTATTTTTAGTGAACGCTATGTTATACCTACTGAAATGGAAGGAAATCAACAGAGTGAGACAAACAAGCGGTGCCGCCTACATCTCTTTTTAAATTCTGATTGATCAACAATTTTCTCGTTGACCAATCGGAATTATTAAAAAGAAATGTAAGTTGAATCATTTGCGTATCTTACTCTGTCGAGTTTCTTATTACGGTGGGTAAGGTATTCCAGTATAGTACTGAGTTCACTGATTATCTCACATGTCTACCGAGTCTGGCCTATCACTTTCTATGCGCTTATTCGTTCGGACGTACGAATTTATTACTCGATGACTATTGCGAATTTTATGAAATGGTACTTAACTTTTCTTTTCAGTTTAATCTACCTTCATCTTTGAGTTGGTCTTTCTTACATCGGGCATCCTGTACATGTGTATAAATATACACATTTCTGATTTCAATTATTTAAACAATTTTATTAATTGAATAAGAATGTGCAGTTCAATTGCAATTATGGTAATACTTAATTATAGCAGTGATAATTTTGAAAAGAATGTTTAATTATTAAGCAATAATAATTTTGAAGATAATGGTTAATCATAAGATAATAGTATTATAATTTTAAAGATAAGCAATATTCAATATTATTCTCTTCTAGATTCGCACGTATAGTGAATGAAAAGTTCAAATTTATAATTGCCGTTCAATTTATAGCGAGTATGCTAGTGGTATGTTCTGGTCTTTATCGATTAGCGAAAACCACAATGAGCATGAAATATATTCCACTGATAATGTATACAGTCTGTATGTGTATGCAAATTTTTATCTATTGTTGGTACGGAAATGAAGTGAAATTAAAGGTAACATTAATTAAGTGCATAATTATACACATACTAAATGCATATGCAAATAATTCGTGATGTTAAATACATTTTGTCAATGTATTACAAAATGTATTTAAAAATAATGATAACAAAAACAATCTCTAGTTCATATTACAATGGTAATAAACTATTATAAAAAAAAAAATCAAATATAAATAAAACAAAATATCTTTTTAATTCAATCTTAATGTCATATTGGCACTTAAATATTATTTACAGCTTCAATAAAAAAGTTTGTAATTATATTTCTGACTTCTATTACAGAGCATTCAATTTTCCGATGAAATTTTTGGAATGGATTGGGTAGCAGCGGACAAGAAAGTAAGAGACAATCTTATAATAATTATGAATCGCTGTCTGATACCCATCGAATTTTCTAGTGCATATATTCTCACAGTGAATCTAGATTCTTTTGTGAAGGTTAGAGATAAATTTATTACATTTACTAATTGTGATAACTGAAAATTTAAATAGTTGAATTAATAAATGTTACTTAGAAATTAATTTATTTTTTAGTTGCTTAAAATGTCGTATTCAGTATTCAATATACTTAAACAAACGAAAGAAGAATAGTGATGACAATGCTATTAAAGAAAGAAGACTAAATAATATTTAAAATATATACAGTGTATATGTTTTAAGAAACATTAGACAACAGTTTGAAAATATGGTAATCGTAGGTTCTTTCTCAGAATTGCATATCATATATAATACATTACATATATAAATAAAGATAGTATTATTTATCTGTATTTTATATTACTTACATCTTTCCTTCACACTCACATCTTTTATCACATATTTACCATAAAAATTGAAGACTGTACCCAAATATAGATACTACTAATATTTAAAAAAATCACAATGTGTAGATAGTGAAAATTGCAAGATCTCCAAAGATAAATCGCTAAATGAATGAGAAGAACATTTATGCCCAAGAGACGATTTTGCAGATATAAAAAAATAAAAAAGGAAAACAGTATGTTTAGTAAAGATCATTGGCAAAATCTAGATATATTTGTTGAAAGGTTCATTATATGTATATTTAAGCAGATATACGTACGCTGAGAGAAATGCTTTGATTGTATCAACAAGATATGTATGATAGAATGTATTTTGGTTAAACCAAACAGAATTTCTAGTTATTAATCAGAAGTTTGATGGACTTCACTACACATCTAGTAAATCTTAAAGGACTTCTGATTTGTTCCACTTTCTAACAGACAACTGGTTGAATCTACCAGATTTTTAATTAATGCAACCAGATTTTTTTCAGTGTAAATATTATACATGATTTTATTTGCCCTTATCTTCATTCAGGAGATGCAAATGTGGAAATCGATGCGAGGAATAGAACAAATTGTAATTGGGAGTAGCGCGAGACAATATTGAGCAGGTACTGATAGCAATAGAAAAATTACGTAACTTTTATGCGGATGATAACTTACCTTCATCAAAATTGCATGGAGACAAATCATCGATGGCAGACTATAAGCGGAGAGAGCGATGCCCCTCTGCATATCCATCATTTATCTTCATTCATATCCATTTAACTCAATATCTCCATTTTTTTGTATTAGAATAATATCACATTATGTTATTGTCGCATGAAGTTTCCATTCGAAAAAATTCCCTTCGACGACGCAACCTGAAATAAAACTTTCTGTCAGTAAATGCAACCTCGCTAATTTCTTATGATAATTACATAAATGTCAAGTAGGGGTCTGTATGTGGAAAACGTTTTCTATAGACAATGTCTATGGAAGTTTTAAGGCGCTGGTATCGTAGAAATTCTTGCCTATTATTATTCACTACGTAATCGGAATTTGGTCGGACCATTTTCTACAGAACCTCCGTGAATTTGTTTAAAAAGAATAAATACAATTTTCAATTTTTTGTAAGCGACAATAAAACGTTATTTCGTATTTTCTCAGATTAAACAATTTTTTAAATTTAAATTCATGCTACTGATGTGAACAGAGAATCAACTTTATAGACAGCTTTTCTTTTTTTTGTACCTTAGTTGAGTGAGTAATGAAATTTTAGAGAAATGTTAAATTCCGGTGAGTCTAGTGTTGAGAGAAATTACATTATACATGATAAAATGGAAGATAAAACGGACCTCTTAAAGCATACACTCGCATTAATGAGGATTGCTGGATGCTGGCAACCGTTGTCGAGAATATCCTCATACAAATATAAACTTTACAACGTTTATACGCTACTTCTGGTTCTTATATTGTATACGTTTGCGATTTCTCAATTTATAGCCATTTTTTTGAATGCTGGCAGTCCACAGGAATTTACTAGTATTTTATACATGATGATGGCTGTGTGCATTTCTATCTTAAAGATATCCAGTATGTGGATAAATCGAAAGAATTTTGCGGACATTATTAATACTCTTACCGATGAACCATTTAGACCGGTGATAGCCGGTGAAGTAAAGATCCGTCAAAATTTTGACAAAATGATACGGTAAATATTATATTTAATTACATCTTTATAAATGTTTATTTGTACTAATATTTTATGAGTTCTATTTATGGAAGAAAACATAACCAATTTTGTAACAGAGTTTTAAATTGTTTTGCAGAAACAACACGTTATATTGCTTTATCTTGGTTGAATCGACGTGTGTGTGCATCATTCTGACTTCTTTGTTCACAAACTTTAAGACTGGGGACTTAACGTTCAAAGCCTGGTTGCCATTTAATTATTCCTCTTCGATATTATTCTCCCTCGCGTACACTCATCAATTAATAAGCATGACAACATGTGCCCTAATCAATCTCGCCTGCGACTGCTTCATTTGTGGTCTCTTATTGCACATTTGCTGTCAGATCGAAATATTGGAATATCGATTGAACAAATCACATACCTGGGAAAACTTGCGTGACTGCGTACGTCACCATGACCTTATATTTGAGTCAGTTTCGTAAGCGCTTTAATTGCTACAAATCATAGATAAAAGTGATCTGATTTGCATCGAAGAAATATTTTAATTTATAACTCTTGACCCTTAAAAATTTTCTATACCACTATACCATTTTTTAATGTACATTATTTAATGGAATTATGTAATTAATGCTTTAAATTAATTTTTTTTAATTGAGACTCTCTATTAGTGTTCACTCTATCATGAGACACCCTAATTAACGGAACTGGACAATTTCTTGGTACATCGGTACAATATACATTAACATGTATATTTAGCATGTAAAAGAGTTAAATTTATATTATTATAATTAAATGCGGATAATTTCTTCAATTACGAAACACAAAGTATCTACTGAATTGCAGCTTTGCTTCCATAGTGAACGAAAGATTCGCAAAGATAATCGCTATTCAGTTTATAGTAAGCATGCTGGTGGTGTGTTCCAATTTGTATCAATTAGCTCAGACAACATTAAGTGCAAAATATATTCCGTTGGTAATATACACATTTTGTATGATGACAGAAATTTTCATTTATTGCTGGTTTGGAAATGAAGTTAAATTAAAGGTACTTGTAATTCATATTTTAATAAAAATTAATGTTCCAATATTTCTTAATCCCATGACAATGTAGTTGTAAATATTATTTTAATGTTTTGTCATCTATTTATAGAGCCTTCAGATGATTGATCATATTTTTGAAATGGATTGGCCGAGATTGAACAACAGCTTTAAAAAAGCTTTTCTGATGATTATGAATCGAGCAACAATACCTATCGAATTTACTAGCGCATATCTCTTTTCCATGAATCTTGAATCCTTCGTAGGGGTTAATATTAATAAATTTATTATTTTTGCAATTGATTTCATTAATGTTTAACTCATATATTTTTCCCTTACAAGTAGAATTGTACATGTTCACCTTAATGCATATATGAATATTTGCACTTATTACTAAAATTTAATTAAGTATAAAAAATATGAGTTATAATAGTTACATCGTTGAACTAATTTCCATAAAGTTTTTTTTATTGTAAGACTATTGGCAACGTCATTAAAACTACTTTTAAAACATTTGTATTGCAGGTACTTAGAATATCATATTCAGCATACACTTTACTGCAAAAGTTGTAAAACCTGCGCCAAGAAAATTGCATATGTAGAATATATTAATTTTATAAATAATATTTAATATGTAAATAAAATTAGGAAGTTAAAATTCGTAATGATACACTTTAAAAGATTGGTAATAACATATTATAATAGTTTATTACAATAAAGTATATAACTTACAGAATTAGAAATTATAATTTGTATAAATAATAATGTTATATTTTTCACATTTTGTTATACATATTACTGTTCTATACTGTATAATTAAGAAATTCCACAGAAATGTCTATGCAAGAAGAGAATACTCCGATTAATGTTTCCATCCAGTCTAAACATTATTTTATGTTATGTATGTCACGTCATGAAAACGAATGAATTGAAGATATCTTGCTTGATATTTAATAAAAACTGCATGTAGATGCCGAGAAGAAGATAGGGAATACTAGACTGAAGTTGCGGAGGGCGAAAATAATGAATAAAACATATTATAATGAATGAGTACATCAGTGTATAAAATTTTCATACATCTGAACCCTTGTCTACAACTTACTTATATTTACAATACATATACTAACATTATAAGGTATAAGACTGGAATTCTCGGGAAATTTTAATTCATGGAAAACATCAGTCCAGGTTTGCTATTATAATAATGTTACTTCGAGGGGAGAATAAATAATGTCACGTTACATGATCTATAGACACTGTAAAGCTTTCTCTTCAGCTGACTTGCGAGTGATGCTTACTAGCAATATAGATATCACGCAATATATATATCAAAGGAATATACGGAGATAACGTTACAACACATCTTACAACATTACAACACATTAAGTTACATAGTTCATGTAATTCATGTTGTTGTATTAGATTAACGCAATTGTGAAAATTTCTTTCAAGATAAAACAAAGACGTACTAACTGAGAAAGTTAAATACTATTTTGTTTATAGAATATGAACATACTGAAATTTACACTCACAATTCTCGCGATCGCTGGATGTTGGCGGCCGTTTTCATGGACGTCGCTCATCAAACATATATTATATAACGCGTATACATTATTAATAATTAGCCTAATGTACAGCTTCACATTCACACAGTTTATGGAAGTTGTCCAGAATGTCGATAATGCGGATGATTTTACTAACATCTTATACATATTGTTGAGCTTGTTTGCTGCGTGCTATAAAATACTCAATTTGTGGGTAAATCACGAGAGTTTCGTGAAGTTAATTCAAAATCTTACGGAAGGAACCTTTAAACCATTAGTTTCTGTCGAAATCAAAATTCGACGAAAATTCGACAAAATAATAAAGTAAGTATAAAATTTCGTCTCGATTTGTAAGAATTGTATCACTAATAAAAGTCTTGCAGACATAAAGACCATAATATGAATTTTATACGGAATATTTAGAAAATCGTTAAAACAGTTTTTCCTACAGATCTTTTTCATAGATTTCATTCTTGATGTTATTAACAGAATTCTATGAATAGTATGATATGCACGTCAATATTATTTTATGTACTATTCGTATATTTGTGATAAATTTTACATGTGCAGAATACTGTGTTTCTACTAAGGTAGAAATTTAAGTATAAAAGTTTCCGCCTTGTAAAGTAAGGGTAATTTTTATTATTTTTTTCTAGGAATACTACAATGTGTTACACTATCTTGGTTATGGGTACCGGCGCAAGCCACGTCTTGGTATCGTTACTGACAAATTTCAGAAAGAGGCAGTTAAGATTCAAAGGATGGATACCATATGATTACTCGTCGTTTGTGATATTTTGTCTCACATATGCTCATCAATACGTAGGTGCGTTATTTGCTGCCTTTATTAACATTGCTTGTGACAGTCTCATTATTGGTCTGCTACTACATCTTTGTTGTCAAATTACGATCTTACAATATCGTCTGGAAGGTATCGTAAATGGCCAGAATACTGTGGGTGACTGCGTACGCCAACACCAGCACATAATCGAGTTAGTCTTGTGAGAATTTTAGACTTAATCTTACAATATTTAATAATTTATTCTAAATTTGGTAATATATTTTAAAGTGTTCCTTGCTTACTTGAAATGTTTCAAAATTGATTATTTTATTGTGGTATTAATTCTATTATAATATTTGTTCAGTTTAATTTTATATTTATAGGTTTATATTTTATATTAATTTTTTTTCGCTGCAATGTTAAATCTATTATCTTATTATTATATTAACTCTTTTTGTATTTTTAATATTAGTATATTAAATAATATGTAGCAATTATTGTTGTCTTGATTTTTCAATACAACTAATTGTTAGTCTTTAGTACAAAAAATTTATTTGCAGATATGCATGTGCAACTAACGCGAGATTGACAAAAATAATTGGATTTCAATTCATAGCGAGTACATTCATGCTGTGCTCGAATTTGTACCAACTAACTAGAATAACATTAAACGCAAATTTCATTGAATTATTTGCATATACATTTTGCGTACTTGTACAAATTTTTATCTACTGTTGGTTTGGAAATAAACTCAAACTAATGGTGTGCATAATTATAATATCCTATACATTATTACAAACTTATATACTTTTTTTATAAAAGTCTGAAGATAAAACATTTGATATATTAAGATACATGAATTTACAGAGTCTTCAATTGGTTGATAATATTTTTGAAATGGAATGGATAGCGTTGGATATTCAAACTAAAAGAAGCCTGTTAATAATAATGAATCGCGCGATGAGACCGATTGAATTTATCAGTGCACAT